GCAGAGCTAAAAGCAGCCCTTCTCCCTGCTGCAGGAGCAGGTGAGAGCCAGCAGACCTTGCTGGAGTTCCCTGTGACTCACACCAAGTTTGTCACTCCTCTCCAGCCCATCTAACACACATGATAGCATCAGTGAGTCACCTGGAGGAAGGGCTGTCCAGGGACCAGGCATTTCCTTTCCTCAGAAGGACTGAAGGAAGGAACAGCCCCCCCCCTTGCATCACTCCATTTCCAAGCATGGACAAGCACTCACCGCCCCTGGGGCTGTCCTAGCTGACACCCAGTGCCAGCAGCCAGGGTGTGCTCAGAGCCAAGCTGCGCCACCCCTACCATCAGTAACATTTTCCTGGGAGTTTCTGAAGCTGCTGCCCCTCTGGGCTGCTGGTACAAGAGCATCCTCCACAGCCAACCTGCAGGCAGGGGGAGGACTATGGCTGGACAGTAGGACAGTGCCAGGACAGTGCTTGGCCTCACCAGCACAGGGCAGAGGATGCAGGCTCTTCTCCACCTCTGTGGGCAGACAAATGCCATCATCTTGGTCTGCCAGGCCTGTTTCAGTCCTTCTCCATCCCCTCTGAGGGGCTACAACCCTCAACATGGGCTACTCCATATACATTGCACACAAGTGAAGGTCCCTCAGGACCCAGGGCTACTCATAAATAGGGAACTACAGACTATGTTGCTTCATACACACAGCTTACATAGTACAGGGCTGAGGAAAGAGCCACAGACACCCCTAGGGCACATTAGCATCAGCAGCTGTGAGGGATCCCCGATGACAGCACCCTCAGCAGAGGCACTTGCAAATGGTGCCAAGCACCACGAGGTCACGGCTTGGGCTTGTCGGGGACGATTCTCCGCTTGGAGTTGTAGAAGTCTGGAGAGCAGAAAGAGCAGGTTGGAAGTCACTTCCTGTCTGTCTGGAGCAGCAGGGCAGGAAGGAGGAAGCATTCCCAGGGCAGCACCCCAAACCCCAGCCAAGGCTGTGCCCAAGCAGGCTTCATTTTGGAGACACCCACCCAATCCATGAGCTAGTTTTTTCCTCCCAGGAGTGTTTGTGGTCTCACTTGCACTTCCACCCTGGGCCCTTCTAATAGGACTTGACCAGGCCAGAAATGAAGGCAATGGACTGCTATCAGCTCATCTTGAGCTGCAAGACCCCCAAGCCTGGCCAGAATCACCTGCTATCCCCAAGGACCCAGTTTGCAGCCAGGCAGAGGGATCCCTCCCCACCTCTCCATGCCCAGAAGCCAGCCAGGGCTCTCCACATCCAGACACCCAAGTCCCCTCCATCTCCCCCTGCCACGGGAGTCAGGGCACCAACCATGGTGGTCATGACACCATCTCACCATGGGGAGATGCCACTGCCAGCACAGAGGGACACTAAGCCTCCAGCACTCACCTTTGATGGTGGTCTGCCTGCGTTTCAAGCGCTGCGGGGAACCAGCCGTGCAAGCCTCAGAGCCCTGCTGAGGCACCTCAGAGCAGGCCTGGCCAAGACGGTCCTTGGAGGGTACCTTGTGGGCTGAGGAGCAGCTCCAACTCTCACTGCTGTTGGCCTTGGATGGGCTGTGCAGCTGCTGGTCAGCAAAGACAACCCTCTCCCACTTGAAGCATCCTTCCAAGGGTGTGTCTGTCTCAAAGTCAAAGTTCCAGCGGTGCTGGGCTTCTTCCAGCTGTTGCCTCAACAGGTCCTGGAAGTCATTTTGGAGCTGGTGGTGGTCCACAGGGCCAAAGAGGTTCCTGCACACCTTGCTGCTGCAGGGCATCTGCTGGCCAGCCCTGCTCTGCGACAGAGGCATCGTGGCAGCTGCAGGGAGGAAAGCAGCACTGGTTACAGGGGTGTTGCGCAAGCTGCAAGCAAGCAGGAGGAGGGCCAGCGTGTTTGCTGCCAGAGCAAAACGTGCAGTAGCCAGGCTGGGCAAGGCTTGGCCCCACAGCAAAGCTAACAGAGTGGAAACCTCCCTGCCTCTGGCTGCCAGACCTGGCCTGGGACTCAGGCATTCAGGATTTCAGGGGTGTCTTGGGCAGAGGGAAAGACTTGAGCACAACTGAGGTCAGATACAACCTGGGTGCAGCTCAGGAGGATGGGGAAGGGGCAAATACTGAAGTTTACTGTTCCTCTTCCACCAGGTCCAAGAGCTACCAGAGCTTCTGACACATCAATGCAGCCAGTTGTGCTCTCGGCACTGGCTTGGAGCCAAAACCCCACTGGGTTCCCACCCCAACATGGGCACAGGGCAAGCTTGCACACGGGCAAGTGAAGCAATAGGATGTTTTTCTGCCCATTTCTTAATCTTGAGAACCCAGGCACGGTGGCACGGAAGCCCTTTGAGCAAGCAGCAAGAATACACCACAGGCTCAGCCACTTTGCTAACCATCCTTGTCATCTGCAAGAAGCTGTTGGGTAACCAGGGACAAGACTGTTTCAGATCGATGCCAAGAGCCTTGACCTTTATGGTTAAGTAGCAGAGAGCCCTCCATCCAAGCAGTCCCCCTCCTCACACAGGCATGGGATCCCTTCCACAGCCCACAGTTGCACCAGGAGCCTCTTATCCGAGCAAGGCAAATATAACCCTGGCTGGGATTCGATGGTTTTCCAAGCTAGGACTTGATCCTCTTTTGGTTAGCAGTGTTCATTAAATCTCATTAACAGATTCACAGAAAGCAACCCACTCCCTGCATGCATGACAGAGTCCTTGGTCTTCTTCTACCCGATTAGGGAGCTCCAAAGCTGGGACTGCTGCAGACCCCCAGGCTCACACTCACCCCACTTCCCCAAGTTTGGAGTATTCAACCCCCAGCAGCGTCAGCCAGTGCCAACCCAGCATGGAAAACTGCCCAAATCCAGTGCTTAGCCCCTTTTGAAGCAGCTGGCATCTCCTGCTCCACACACACCACCACGGGCAGTCAGTAGACCCCTGGGGAGCCTCCAGCCCCATGTGCTTCCCGAGGCTGCCCCAACCCTCCGCTCGCGTTGATCCAGCCCTGCCTCAACCCAGGGCCGAGCATCCCCGAGTATAAATAGCAATTCAGCTTCCTATCTCGGAGCCGGCTCCGCGGGTGACCTCATCGCCAGGCAAGTCCCAGCATGTCCCAGCAAGCCCCCGCCAGCCCCTGCACCTTGTGGCAGCAGCGTCACCCTGACTCAGAGCACGGAATCGGTGCTGGAGCCACCAAATCCGGAAGGACGGGGCAGACGTGACCTTCCCCTCCCACGGGGCTGGCTCGGTCTCACCGTCGTCTCAAAAAACGAGAGCTTCCAGCTGGAGAACCCTGACACTGGGGCAAACAGGTGATGCAGGTTCATGGTTGCATTAAGAAAACCTCACCCAGCTGGAGCTGGGAGATCAAGGCCCTGTTTGGGGAGTCGAGATGTACACACACACACACCCCCAGCAGCACTGCTCACCACAGCCACCTGTGCAACACCAGGACCTACCCTCCACCAGTTACACCAGTTTGTGGGAAACACAGGGGACAGGAGAGGCCAGGAGCACCCCAGCACAGGGCTGCTGGAGCTCGCTGCAGGTGGGCCAGCCTGAGCCAGCTGCCTCTGCCCTGCAAGAGGGGCAGAGTGCAGAGGATGCCCCACTCACGACACTGGTGAGTCCTTGGGGCTCTCCAGCAAGGAGGGCTATTTTGGAGCGAGGTCGCCTTAGTCCGGCGGAACACGCACGTCTCCAGATAACAGCTTAAACTGGAAACCTCCCGTTCCCCCCTCCCAACGGCAGCAGCCCGGTTATTT